GCTAGGAGGCAACAGTGCACGTGGGTGATGCAGAGGGAGATATTCTCACTGGCATCATGTCTAGTCCCTCTCTGTTAATGATTCCAGCCAGAAGATTTGTTTACAGCTTTTCTTGTAAGACAATGGTTTTTCACCTTGGCATTGCACATTAGAGTCATCCATAGAATTTGTGGGAGTGTGGGGTGCCCAAAGGTCCTTCAGGAGGTCCAGCGCCCCATCGTGTTTCTTGGGCAACAAGACCAGTGGTTCAGCAGAGAGACTCAAGAAAGTGATGCTGGATGCCACACCCAGCGTTGCTTGGAGATCTTCAGGGATGTAATTGGCCCTGCATGGTGTTGATATCAACCCTGGGTGGGGTTCATGCCCTAAGCCCTAACTGCTAGTTTCCTGGCCCTATTGTAGAATTTTAAAAATCTGCTCATTGGGCCAACTAGTCACATTCTTCAAAATTAGAACCTAGGAACCAATATTCATTATTTATTTATTTTTTTTAATGGGATATACCCAGCAGTGTTCAGGGAACCCACTCCACCAGGTCCACCCCTCAGGTGGTTAGGGGGCTCTGAGGTGCTAGGGGTTGAATTCAGTGCTTCACATCTTGTAGGCATGTGCGAATCTATCCAAGTTCTCTCCTCTGGTTCCATTATAACTGTTTGAAACTTCCAGGAGATTCCAATATTCAGCCAAAGTGCAGATCCATGCGAAGTCCAGATAGCCCTCTGGGAGAATTATATAGAGTAGCTGGCTATAGTTGAATCTCATCAATTACAGTTAACCAGTTGGGAATTCCTGAGTGAACTTAAGGTTCCTTCAGTAGCAAATAGTGATTGAGTCTCAGCTTTGTACCAGATTCTTGCTAGTTTCTAGGAATAAAAATATGAACACGTATGATTGGAAAGGGGATCAGTCTGGTGGAAAACAGAAATAATAACAGATGACAAATACTGGCATGATAAATACTCCATGACATTGGCAACTATCGCCCGATCTGCCTATTGTCTGTCATCTACAAGGTGTTCACTCGAGTCATCCTGAATAGGATTGGCAGAACACTAGATGAAGGACAACCATGCGAGCAAGCAGGGTTCCGCAAAGGATTCAGCACCATCGACCATATCCACACAATAACCAAGCTCATTGAGGTTTCTCGGGAGTTCAAGATGCCGCTCTGCTTAACGTTCATTGATTTAAAGAAGGCCTTTGATTCTGTTGAGACGGAAGCGGTCATTGAAGCCCTAGCCAATCAGGGCATTCAAGCCCAATACATCAGGATCCTCCGTGAGCTGTATTGCGGATTCACTACCAGGATCTCACCATTCTACAAAGAAGTGATCGTTGATGTCAAGAGAGGGGTGCGGCAGGGTGATACCATTTCACCAAAACTCTTCAGTGCCACCCTTGAGAACATCATGGGACGACTGGAATGGGAAGGAATGGGAGTGAAGATAGATGGTCGGCAACTACACCACCTCCGCTTTGCTGATGACATTGTTTTAATAACACCAAACATCAGCCAAGCGGCACAAATGCTGGCCGACTTTGACCGTGAGTGTGGAAAGGTAGGACTACAGCTGAATCTTGCGAAGACAATGTTTATGAGAAACAGCCTTGTTCCTGATGCCCCATTCGCTCTCAATGGAACGACCATCTCCGAATGCAACAGCTATGTGTACCTAGGTCGAGAGGTCAACATGACAAATGACCTGGCACCCGAGCTGCGCAGGAGGAAGAGAGTGGCTTGGAACGCCTTCAAGAACGTCGAAGAAATAGCTAAGAGGACGAAGAACCTTCGGCTCCGGGCACATCTCTTTGATTCCACTGTTCTTCCTGCATTAACATATGCCTCAGAGACCTGGGCCTTACGCAAACAAGATGAGAACGCCATTCAGGTCTCCCAAAGAAGAATAGAAAGAGCTATGCTTGTAATATCACGTTTCACTCAAATGAGAGAAAGAATCCGGAGTTCTGGCATCCGTCGACGATCAAGGATCAGGGATGCTGTCTCATTTGCCAAGGTGTCGAAAATCAGATGGGCTGGTCACGTAATGAGATTTAAAGACGACCGTTGGACTAGAGCTGTTACTGGATTCCACGGGATGTCAAAAGACCGCGTGGAGTGATTAAGTGATTAAATACTGGCATATAGATGTTAAGTGTTTAAAATATTACTGGCAACAGTAGAAGAGGCAGTTAAGTTTGCTTGAAGTATAGGATATTGTATGAGTGGGAGTAAAGTATGAGTGCTTTGTGTTTCAAAGAGAAAGTGATAAATTAAGAAATTTTTTGTAGGTAAAGAGGGTGGGAGAAGAAGTTTCTATTTATTTATTTTTAATTTTTTCTTTTATTTTTATTTATTTACTGAATCACTGTGGGAAAAGTTACAAAGCTTTCAAGTTTAAGTCTCGGTCATGCAAATATCAAACACATTTCCCTTTACCAATACTTGTTTTTCACCACGAAGAACCCCGATAAACCCCTCCCCCAACCCTCCCAATGCCTGTGAAGCAGATGAATTCTAGTTAACACTCTATCTACTTTGATTAGATTCATTATTTCGACAAAGGATGCACCATTATTATTTAGAGTTTAGAGTTTACACCCCCAAATCAGACATGCTGAAAAGGGATTGTGAAATAGTTTGTTTTCTACAGCTGGTCACAAGAATCAAAACATGTCACGCGACTGCAATAGTGGCCACATGATTTTTGGATTTCTGGTATTTTACTTACTAAGCCTGGAGGTATTTCTGCTGAGAGTCAGATAATTATGAGATTGGTTTCTGTGCTCTGGAGGCATGGCCATGCCGGAGAGCTGCTCGTGGGGGGCAACTCCTGACCTCGGTAGGGCGTGAAGGACGAGCTGGGAATGCCCCTCTTCCCATGAGGTTTCAGTCGCCCCTTCACGACTGGCTCATACCTGGCTTTCCATAAAGCTCCAAAGTGGCTGCCATCTGTCTTTCCAGAGGGAAAAAGGCAGAGGGGACCTACACCCTTTCCCCTCTGGGCAGGCATGGTGGCGTGGATTAACGCATAGTCCATTCACTTTTCTGCTGCAAGCTGCCGGGCTCTGCATTAAGTCCTTGTGCTTCTGGAGCCAGGGCTGTGCTGGAGAGCTGCTCGTGGGGGGCAACTCCTGACCTCGGTAGGGCGTGAAGGACGAGCCCGGAATGTCCCTCTTCCCATGAGGTTTCAGTTGCCCCACCACGACCGGCTCATACCTGGCTTTTCATAAAGCTCCGAAGCGGCTGCCATCTTTCTTTCCAGAGGGAACAAGGAAGTTTTTAACGAAGATTATTATGTGTAAAGGTGTGAAGAAGTTGAATTTTAGGGTTTCTGTTCAGTGTGTGTATTTCTCAATATATCTTAGATATTTCTTTACCTATTTAGCAAGGGTGCTTCAGGGACATGGTGTCATTACTGCAGTGTTCAGCCTGTTTTGCAGACCTAAAGATATATAATGCTTGGGCTGGCAGTGCTGCTCAGATTCTTTGTTGGGCTGGTGCACTCTAGAACTGTACCCAGTAGTTTACTTAAATTTGGAGGATGTAGGATTGGGGGAGGGAGGGAGGAATATAATATGAAGGGTTCAATCAAGACAAAATTATACTTTTGATGTTTTCTCCTGAGCATTAGCGAGAACTCTGCTGTGTTAACTGCAAATGGAGTTTTTTGTTTCTTGTTGAAATTTTGTGTTTTTTTAAAAAAAATATTAGTAGAAGATATAGAAAAGAAGTCTGAGAGTTAGAAAACCCTCCTTCAGTCTTCTGTTTGAACTTTTGATTATTATTTTAAGTTTTTAATTTTTAAAGCTCATAATATAGGAATAATAGCCTTGCTATTATTATTTGCAGTAATAGCCTTGCAAAAATAGCTTGTTATTTTTCAGAACTGTATTGTTTTTATCCAGATAGTTGAAGTGACTGATTATAAAACTGTTTTGAAAAGTGCATTTGCAGTGTATATAGAGAAGCAAAGATAGTGGTGGCTTGACAGATTTTAGTTATTCCATCCTTATTATTTTCTCTATGGGCTGGAGCTATAGCACAGCGGGTAGGGTGATTGTCTTACACGCAGCCGACCGGGCAACCCGGGTTCGATTCCTCTGCCCCTCTCAGAGAGCCAGGCAAGCTATCGAGAGTATCTCGCCCGTCCGGCAAAGCCTGGCAAGCTCCCCGTGATGTATTTGATATGCCAAACACAATCACAAGTCTCACAATGGAGACGTTACTGGGCCTGCTCAAGCAAATCGATGAACAGTGGGAGGACAGTGCTACAGTGCTACAGTTATTTTCTCTACTTTAAACTGGATGTGGTAGAAACATATTAATTTTTGGAAAAGATGTATATGTGATGTTTTAATTAGTCATCAATTTCAGGTATTGTGTTGTTGTGCTAGTGAATTAACTTGCTCTTGTTTTTTTTCGAAAAACATGATTGGAATACTAACCATTTAAATAAGATCATTAAGGGAGTACCAAATAAAGGTTGTTGGGAGGATCCTCCCAGGATGGGAGAAGCATGCTGAAAGTAGACTGTAGACCAAACATAATTGCCACTCAATGCCTCTTTTGCAAACCACAGAACCCAAAAGGAGAGAGAGAGAGAACAAAAGGGAATGCCCTGCCACAGAGGCAGGGTGGGATGGGGGGGATGAGGGATGGGAGGGATGCTGGGACCCCTGGTGGTGGAGGATGGGCGCTGGTGGAGGGATGGGTACTTGATCATTGTATAACTGAAACCCAAGCACAAAAATTTGTAAGTCTATAACTGTACCTCATGGTCTTTCACTAATAAAAAAAAAAAGAAATAATGAATAAAATAAAATAAAAAAAGATCATTTTTATTTAACATCTGTACTTGAGTAATTCATGGAACTTTATTGTAAGAATAACTATATAAGCTAACGTAGATGACATTTTTCTCCTTTTAAAACTACTAGAACTAAACTTTATTAATTTTAAGATAGCTTAAATTACATTTAATCTTTTTCCTGCTTGGCAGGCAACCAGATAAACTGGTGGTGGTTTGGACAAGAAGAAGCCGGAGGAAGTCTTCTAAGGTTAGTCTGTTTTCTAATTTTTTTTTTTTACCAAAATGTTTAATTCAACATTTAGTCAAATGATTGAGTGGTTTTGGTCCCAGTATAGAGCATTTTGAAGTATTAATTGGTATTTTGAATTATTTCTGATTTTCTAATCTAGTAAAATGAATCATTAATTCAGTCTCATTACTGTGGTTCTTAAAATGAGAGTCAGAGTTTTGACAGCCTTGAGTAATATAATAGTCATATATCTTCTCTGTTGTGTGGGATCATGAGTTATGATCAAATAGGTATCACTTAAACCTACTACTACTTTGTTCAGTATTCAAGAGGATCTATAATTCACTGCTGGACTACAGAAGAGAAACTAACATTTTCAAAGATTTGTTCTTGTCATCATTATTCTTGGGGAGGTGGAGCACCCTATGTTGCTGGAAGGATTGTATGTGGTACTAGCCACCAAACCTGGGGTTCATTCCTACAAAACTCTTTAAATTGAGCCCTATCCCTGACCCATTTCCAAATGTTGTAGCTTAATTGTGGGAAATAAAGTACATTTGAAAAATGTTTAATGGCAATGATAATTTTCAAAATTCTATTCTTTGGATAAGTATACTTTTATAATTGCACATTAACTGTAAGATGTTTATTGAATATTAGGGTTTTTTTTAAAATAAGTAGACATATTTGAAGATACTCATTTTTAAAAAATTTTATTGAATCACCATGAGAAAGTTGCAAGCTTTCATGCTTGGGTTACATTCACACAATGATCAAACACCCATCCCTCCACCAGCGCACATTCTCCATCACCAATGTCCCCAATATACACCCCCTCACCCCCTCCCCCCACCTCCATGGCAGACAATATTTCCCATACTCTCTACTTTTGGGCATTATGTTTTGCAATACAGATACTGGGAGGTCATCATGTTTGGTCCATTATCTTCTTTCAGCACTTATTTCCCATCCCGACTGATTCCTCCAGCCATCATTTTCTTAGTGATCCCTTCTCTATGCCAGCTGCCTTCTCCCCTCCACTCATGAGGCAGGCTTCCAGCTATGGGGAAATCCTCCTGGCCATTGTATCTACTATCCTTGGGTGTCAACCTCATGTTATGTTATTCTATATTTAACAAATGAGTGCAGTCCTTCTCTGTCTGTCCCTCTTTCTGACTCATTTCCCTTAGCATGATACTCTCCATGACTATCCACTTATAAGCAAATTTCATGACTTGAACTCTCCTAACAGCTGCATAGTATTTCATTGTGTAGATGTACCAAAGTTTCTTTAACAAGTCATCTGTTCTAGGGCACTTGGGTTGTTTCCAGATTTTGGTTATTGTGAACAGTGCTGCAGTGAACATATAGGTACAGATGTCATTTCTACTGTGCTTTTTTGCATCCTCGGGATATATTCCCAGAAGTGGTATTTAGGGGTCATATGGAAGCTCAATTTCTAGTTTTTGAAGGACTGTCCATATTGTTTTTCAGAAAGGCTGGACTAGTGGACATTCTCACCAACAGTGAAAGAGTATCCCTTTTTCCTCACATCCATGCCAGCACTGGTTGCTTTTGTTCTTTTGAATGTGTGCCAATCTCTGTGGTGTGAGATGATATCTCATTGTTGTTTTGATTTGCATATCCCTGATGGCTAATGATGCGGAACATTTTTTCATGTGCCTTTTGGCCATTTCTATTTCTTTTTTGAGGAAACTTCTGTTCATTTCTTCTCCCCACTTTTTGATGGAGTTGGAGATTTTTTTCTTGTACAATTCTACTAGTGTTTTGTAATATCTTGGATATTAATTCCTTATCAGATGGGTATTGGGTAAATATTCTTTCTCATTCTGTGGGCTCTTCTGTATTTTGGCCACTGTTTTGAAGTGCAGAAGCTTCTTAGTTTGATGTAGCCCCATTTGTTTATGTTTGCTTCCACTTGTATTTTGAGTGCTGTTTCATCCTTAAAGATGCTTTTCGCTTCAGTGTCACGGAGTATTCTGCCTACGTTTTCCTCTATGTACCTTATGGATTCATGTCTGATATTGAGATCTTTAATCCACTTTGATCTGACTTTTGTGCCTGGCATTAGACAGAGGTTAGAATTCATTTTTTTGCAGGTAGCTATCCAGTTTTCCCAGCACCACTTGTTGAAGAGGCTTTCCTTGTTCCACTTTACTCCTTTGTCAAAAATTGTCACTGTCACTGTCCTCCTGTTGTTCATCGATTTGCTCGAGCAGGCCCAGTAATGTCTCCATTGTGAGACTTGTGGTTACTGTGTTTGGCATATCCAATATGTCACGGGTAGCTTGCCAGGCTTTGCCATGCGGGCGAGATATTCTTGGTAGCTTCCCCGGCTCTCTGAGAGGGGCGGAAGAATTGAACCCAGATCGGTCCGGTTGGCCACGTGCAAGGCAAACGCTCTGCCCACTGTGCTATCGCTCCAGCCCTTAAGTGGCCATATATTTGGGGGTCTGTGACAGAATATTCAACTCTGTTCCATTGGTGTGCAGATCTGTTTCTAGCCCAATACTGTGCAGTTTTAATTACTGCTGCTTTGTAGTAGAGTTTGAAATTGGGGAGGGTGATGTCACCTATCCTCTTTTTCCCAAGGATTGCTCTAGCTATTCGTGGGGGTTTATTATTCCATATGAATTTCGGGAGTGTTTTGTCTATTTCTTTGAAAAATGTCATGGGTATCCTGCTTAGGACTGCATTAAATTTGTATAGCGCTTTGGGCAGTATTGCCATTTTGATAATGTTAATACCCCCTATCTCTGAGCAGGGGATGTGTCTCCATTTCCTGGTGTCCTCTTTTATTTCTTGAAGAAGTGTTTTGTAATTTTCCTTGTATAGGTCTTTCACCTCTTTGGTTAGACTGATTCCAAAGTACTTGATTTTCTGAGGTTCTATTGTGAATGGGATTGTTTTTTTAATGTCTCTTTCATTATTTGTATATAAGAAAGGCATGGACTTTTGGGTGTTGTTGGGTGTTGATTTTGTAGCCTGCCACTTTACTATATTGACCTATTGTTTCTAAGGAGTTTTTTTGTAGATTCTTTAGGGATTTCTAAGTATAGTATCATATCATCTGCAAACAGTGATAGCTTGACCTCTTCCTTACCTAAAAGATACTCATCTTAATTTAAATTGGATGGAATAAAAAGTTAAGAGCTTTTAATTTTTAGTCTTTTTCAAAATGTTTTATTGAGCTAAATAAAAATGTAAAGTATATAAATAAGTATCCATTGTAATGGATATATCTTAATTTCATTTTAGTAAGTTTTAATCAATATATACCTTTATAATTATCACTATCATCATGATATAAATTATTTTTGTAGGTTTCCCTTTGTGTTCTCATTCAGTCAATTCCTAACCCTCAGAACTAGCCACTATTCTGATTTTCTGTTACTGTAGACTAGTTTTGCCTCTTTAAATTTCATATCTACTGAATGGTGTACTTTTTATGTCATTTGTTTCAATCCCCATATTAGTTTTTAAAAATTTATTCATGCTGTTGTGTATGGTGGTAGTATTTATTGATGAATAGTATTTCATTATGTGAATATATTGCTTTTTGATAATCTATAACAAATCTGATTATCTGCATCCCAGTGGATGAATATGTGATTTGTTTTCACTGAATATTGTTAGTGTTCACTATTGTGACTAAGTCTGTAAACTAAAGATTTATATTTACCCATTATATGAAGCTATAAACTTTATTATGCATTTCCATTCAAGTTGCTGCAAGTTGCACGGTTTTTTTCTTTACTCATAGTTGAGAAGTTTTCCATTGTATATTTATTCCAAAATTTCCTTATCCTCTCATTTTCTGTTGATCACTTGGGTTGTTTCCAGACTTTGCGTACTTAAATTATAGTGTGCATAGGTGTGAATATGTCCTCTGCAGTTGATGTTTGTGTTTTGCGGGGAGATGTCCAGGAGTAGAATTGCAGGACCACAGGGAAACTCTTCTTCGTGTTTTGAAAAGTCTCCAAACCACTTTCCAAAGAGACTGTACCAAACAGGAGTCCTACCAATAGTGAATGAAAGTTTCTTTTTTTTCTGTTGGTCATATTCCTACCAGCACTTACTGTTTCCAAACTTTTTGATGTGGACCATTCTCTGTGGTGTAGGTCACTCTCCTTGTCATGTTGCTTTACATTTCTCTGATAATCTGTGATGATAAACATTTTTTCCTGTGTCTATTTGCCATTTTTATCTCATCTTTGAAGAATTGTCTGCTCATTTCTTCCTGTTTTTGTGGGGAGGGCTGTGTACAGGTCTTCTGGCTCTGTACTTAGGGATTCTGATGATGTTTGGTTTGTTGGGATAGAGCCAAGCTCAGCAGTGTGCAAGGCACGTGCCTTTCCTTACCTCTTTGGGTTCACCTGCATTTTTTGGTAAGATTGTTTTTACGTTCTTGATTTTTGAGAGTGCTTTGCCTACCTTGGTTATTATTTCTTTGATGTATGATGTGCAGATACTTTTTCACAATCAATGGGGTATTTTTTTTTAAATTTTAGGCTTTATTTGTTTTACAGCACTGCAGCATTTTTTGGTTTGATGTTGGACTATATGTTTATTTCTGCTTTTCTTTTCTTTGCCAATGGGGTTGTATCATTGAAGACTCCTCTCAGATCAAGGTCTTGAATAATTCTGCTTCAGTTTTTCTCAGTACATTTTATAGAAGAAACGGGTCTAATCTCAAGGTCTTTAACCCATTTTGAATTAACATTTGTGTACCATTTGAGGTAAAGGTTGGATTTTATTTTTTTGCATATGGTTATCTAATTTTTCAAGCACCATTTGTTGAAGACTCCTTGCTCCACCTCATGCACTTAGTTCCTTTGTCATAAATTAACTGCCCATATCTATGAGTTTATCTTCTGGATTCTTAGTATTGTTCCACCGGTTTAAAAAAGGCATTAACTTCAGTACCTAAATTAACTATCAGTTACATTAAATCAAAGGCAAAATCCATTTTTCAGTTTTGTTTTGTTTTGTCTTAT